ATGTAAATACTTCATAAACAGACTTTAAATATTAACTGATGGTCGTCACTTTAAGTTGATCTTAATAAAACTATTAATAACTTATTTTAACAGCTTTAAGATGACAAAATCGAGACATAGCTATAGTTTATGCCCAAAGATGAAAGAGGCATGTCTTCCATTCAAAGAAGGAGCCAACAGAAACCTGTCGTATCTGTCCAGGAAAAAAGCAACTAAAGGCTGGAATACGCTACACAACTTTTAAAATGTGAACAGATTTTTAAAACACTAGGCTTCATACACGTACCTACTTTGTAAATAGTTTGTTTTTTGAATGTGTTACTTCGCTGAATGTGGACTAGTCTAGATGTTGCAATGTGCTTAAATGACACTTCACTATGAATGTATAACTGATCAAATTGAGTGCCTTGTTGCTTGATTTTAGTGTTGTTGTTGTTGTTTTTGTGTGATTGACTTTGTACCTTCAAATACATTTTTTTTTTTCAATTATTCTTTAAAAATGTTGTTCAAAATAAACAAGACTTTTTAATAAAACATGATGTGAGCTTAATGGGAACAGGGGTGTGCTTAAAGGGTACAAAAATGTACCCATTAAGCACAGCCAGACTTTTTGCATTTAATGATGTATATCTTAATTCAAATGCTTTTGTCATTTAAAATAAAATAAAATATTTTTGTGTGAGAGATTAATATTTTATTTTAATATAACTTCTTGTACTGAAACCAACATCTTGTGCACTAAAAATGACTCAATGTAGATTTTGGTGAGCTTAATAGGTACGTTTACCCTAGTACATTTTCAAATAGCCTGAACAATTTTCATAGACTTTTTTGGTGTTATATAATTCTCAAATTTTAGCTAACATTTCTTTCATTTCGTCTGCCATCTTGGATTTCCTTTTTCACTAAGCTTGTCGCAATACATTCTGTAATTGCTTTGATGGAAATTTGGCCAAAAAAAGGTATCTAAGAGATATCTAACTCAGACCTTATAGTAGTTCAAGTGTATCATCTAGCACCTCAAACTCAAAGGTCTGTCTTCTTCCAAGAGAGACCAAATATGCTCTTGTCAAACTCTTGACAGACACGGTAAATTATAGCTGAGAGGAAGGACCGAGCTAGGACACGAGAGAACCACCAACTAACAGCACTTGCTTTGACTCACCATGGAAAATTACGAAAACACGCTACGCGCACATCACTCACAAAATTACAGCCTGCTGTGGAGAGACAGGTGGGAGATGCTAACAAGCAGTTAGACAGCTGAAAAACAGAGCAAGATTATACAACTTGGGAAATAGTCTGAACAAGACTGTTGACAGCTCTTGTATTGTAAGACTGTCTACCTTATTATAAACCAAAGTCATGTCAAAACTGCCGACAGAAAATAAAAACGGAAACACAAAAATGTACCTCCACTAAAGCCAACACAAACTAGATGTTTTCTACTGCACTGTATGCAAATAAGCCCACAAATGATGAGACAGCAGCAATGTTCAGTCTCTAATGGGACTATAAAATCATTTACAAAGATACTGCCAGTCGCACAGTGTAAGATCATCCATGATAACCTTCAAAATGGTACACTGCCTCTAATGAGGCGAGAAAGAAGTGAGGAGGAAGAGGAAGCAGATAAATGAGGCTACAGAAAGATCCAACAGAGACCCATCAGTAAAACCAAACCAGAGAATGATTTCACAGCTGCATATGTAAGATGGTTCACATTGGAATTGAAGGTTGTAAATGACTTTTTTTTTTTTTTTTGTTAGTGACTTTAAATTGTAATATACTATCTACTCCAGTTTCCCCAAAACATCTAATGTTCAAATTTGTATTTAGGTTTCCTAAAAAAGAAATTAAGGCTATGCAAAACTACCACAATAAGAGTTTCCTCCATTAAAATTTTAATCAAGAAGTTAGCTATCCCTTTTGGTCCAATGTCTTTTCACCAAGCAAATTATGCATGTCTCCGAATGTAAAATTCAACACATAAGTTTGCGTATATGATCTTTCACATGCACATGAATGGAACAGTTACTTTAACGCACAGAAGATCCTGTAGCATTGCCCTGTTAGGTACATCAACAAAATTGCTCTTACAGAAAAAGGGAAGAGCTGTTCCTCAAGGAACATGCAGAAAAAAATTAACTTGGAATAACAGCAGAATTCTCAATGGCACGATTAACCTACACAACCTTCTCCAGAACATCTGCCGACATGGAGGAAGAGAAAGAGGAGGAAAAATAGAAGTCAGAAAGCAGAAAGAACAAGCTAAATCTTTTAGCCAACGCTAAAAGAACATATATCTAAGTACTCATGACTAAAGTAGGACAAATGTGTAAAGATTATCGAATAAGCATTTCTGCAACAGCTCAATAAATCATAAACTGTAGAGAGAGTGAGGAAACACATTGACTACCCCTCTGCCTTATCCCTTCTTTTTTCCTGGAAATCCCTTCTTTTCCTCTCTCTCATCCTCTTACCTGATTGTTAAGGACTCTCTCACCTCCTCTCCTTTCTAGATTTCAGTTTATCAGATCGAAACTGCAACCACAATCAACTCAACCAGCATTTTAGAGGAGAGAAAGAGAGTGTGTGGAAAATGAGAGATGAAGGAGGCTGAGAAATTACATTTCTCCAACTATGATGGAGTTTAAACTGGATTGGAGTCTAGAGGAATCAGGTCACCTAACCGCATGAGAGAGCGAGAGAGCATGAAAGTAGACAAATAGAACAGAACTGAGCAGGACAGAATAGAATAATAAACAATAATAAAGAAAAATAAAGATAGCAATAAAACAGAAAAGAAAATATAATGGAAAGTAATCAGAAGAAAACAAAGCAAAATATAATAGGACATAAAAATGTATAAAAAATTAAAAGAAATGAAATAAGCTGAAATAAAATATAAATATTAGATTAAAAACTTAAAGGGGTCATATGATGCTATTTTAAAGATCATTATTTTGTGTATTTGGTGTAACAGAATATGTTGACATGCTTTAATGTTCAAAAAACACATTATTTTTCAAATACTGTACATTATTGTAGGTCCTCTATGCCCCGCCTCTCTCAAACACGTCGTTTTCAACAAAGCCCCCTCCTTTGATAAGCGCAGTCTGCTCTGATTGGCCAGCTGACCCAGTGCATTGTGATTGGCCGAACACCACAAGCACGCGTCGGAAATGTAACGCCCAATACCATAATAGCGAGCATCAAGACAGTTAATAATGTTGTTAGTTTTACCATCAGTTCAAGCCAAACGAGGCGTTTTAGGTAGGCGTGGTTGACTCTTAACTTTTATAAAGAATATCTCTTTGGATTTGAGACTTTAGTCTTTGCAACTTTACAGATCTTCTTTATGCACCAAGAGCTTGTATCACTCCAAAGAGAAAGGAAAACTTGAAATCGCATCATACGACCCCTTTAAAGATTAGATATACTGTCTAGGCAAAAATAAGTTGAAGTACTAAAATTACTAAAACTAAAACAAACAAAGTTATTAAATTAAAGTTATATATAAATATATTTTTTTTAAATGACAAGCAGATAACAAAATTACTAAAACTTAAATTAAAATGAAAATACAACAATAAACGCTAATTCAAGATATGAATAAATACTATAATAGTAAATAAATAATAAAACAAATAAACAGAGAAAATAATAATGGAAAAACAGAATAGAATAAATGAGAAAAAAACAATACAACAATAGAACAAAACAGAAGAGAATAGAACAGTACTATAAAACTTTATTCTTCATGTGATCAGTGACTGAGATGCCACAGGCAGCGTTTACCTCATGATTAGAGATTTCCTGAGAAAGTTCATATGAGTGTGAGTGTTGAGGAAACAAAGCTCTGCTGAGGAGACATTTCTGTTTATATTGAGGTCTGTGGGCTGATGGGGCATGGGAGACAGACAGTGTTGTTATGGAAACTGAACTCATCCTGAGAGAAGATGTTTGTTTTCTGATAGGAGGATTTATGGAGTGTTTTGAGCAGGAGGGGGCTGCTGTATGTGTGATTGGATGGGTGACTTGAGAGGCTGCTGGTTTGGGTAGTTATGGGAACCTAAACCTGCCAGATTGACTATTAGTGGTACTGATGTTTAAAAGACACTTGAGAGACAGACATATGCACAAACATATGATAGAGTTCAGGTCAGGGCAAGCTAATCTCAGGGTCTGTTTGGCTGTGAAATCGGAGAAAGGCATAAAGGAGTCATATTACATTTGCACACACAGAGCAAACATTCAAACTCATACATGCACACAGACCGATAAAGAGCCCCTATTTCCACAAGACATTAATTAAGTCTCAGAGGAACAATGAGGATTTCCCTTCCCAGACAAACAAGAGGAAACCTGAGGCCTTTATCACAAAAACATGCACCAAAACTTCACACCTATGTATTTCAACAGTCATACAACTTTACTATTTCTGCACTAATACTGGACATTGTGCTGGTGAAGTGAGTTAAACAGAATCAATTATCGATTAAAAACCTACAATATCATATTTGGGCCTTGTTGTACCATTATCTTGATTGTTATAAAAAAGTATATTGTCTTACCTGTACCAGGAGCTCCAATTTCCTGTCATCCAGGAGATGGACCTGACATCTCCGCCCTTCCGTCATCTGTTGTGGGGGGAGAGAGAGAGAGAGAAAGAGATTAGTGAAAGCACATTCACAGCAGGGTGAAATCAACTGTAAATACTAGGTCATGGTGACATGACAAAAATAGAAACTCTCCTTACACACATGCAGCGCGATTCCCAGTCAAGCAGCAGAGTTCAATCTCATTCACTCCTACACACACACACACTTTTAAACTGAATTATCTCACACATCAGTGCTGATGCTGAGTACTTTTTTTTTTTTTTTTTTTTTTAGTTTTAAGTGTATTTTGATTTAACTCCTGGTTAAAATATATAACAACTGCAGACACACTTAACATGAAAATTCTTACTAAATTTAGAAATCAAATATTAGGCTATACAACAAATAATAAACAAGTAAAAAGCATGTTGTTTCACTTACAGAGTGCTTGCAGACTTTTATGGTCAGAGGTCAGAAATTAGATAATGGCTACTACTTTTCATCTAAAAAATAGTGCCATTTATATAAAAGCAACCAACCAGTTTATTTTGTTTTTACTTGTTGTTTAGGGTCAGGTTTATCTGAAACTGCTAATACCACAAGCTATAAAATGTTTTTAAAGAGTGGCTTTTACATAAAAAAAACAATTTTGTAATCAAAATTCTGTTCTAGACCCCAATTACTTTCATTTTATGTACAAAAAAAGTCAACATTTTCAAAATATCTTTTTGTGTGTGTGTGTGTGTGTGTGTGTACTGCAGAAGAAAGTCATATAGATTTGGAATAACATTGACTGCACAATGACAAAATATTCACTCAAAATTGCAGTTAACTACATAAAATCACTTTGTATCGTATATACGTCATGAGCACACACATCATACATAAGCTTCTATTTGAAATTCATCACCGCCTAGAGATCAGGGCTTACAGCTGCTGTTAATATCAGTGTTAATATAAAACTCCCCTCAACCATCACTAATTGATGAAAGAGGGATCGTGCCATGTCAGTCCGTATAGATACCTGCACCAGCGCACAATCTGATTAGTGCTTTGATTGCCATCTGCCATGGTGAAGAATATCTTTTTTTATCAAAGCCAGAGAGGACTGCTCATAATTAATATTAAATTGAGTCTGCAAGAAAAACAAACACATTAACAACACACTTTCCTCCAGGGTAAAATGAGTATGTGCATTCAGAACTCCTCCCGCAAGGCGCAGTTGGACATTCCATCTATGAAACATGTTTGGAGTTACTATCATCTGCACGCTCCTTTCGTTTGATCTCAAATCACCGCTCACTCCCACTCGCTTTCCATTCACTCTCACACACAATTTTTGTGAGTATTTACTTAAGATCACTGTTTCTGTGCCAAGCCGTATAGTAAACATCCCATTACGAGCAGGTGGACAGACACATCTGTGAAGAACAGTCTGACTAACAGCCATGTCATCACGTGAGTTATACTGCCTTTAGGATTGAGCTGGTTTGACAACTCGAGTACAAAGAACCAAAGTGTAACCCGATACTCCCATTGTTCTTTTCCCTTCAAGAGAGCTTTTAATTTTTTGTTTATTTTCTCTTAAAGAAAAAAATGTTTCGAGGGATTTTGAGTCTGTGAATGTGATACTAACAGTGGCGGTAGTTCACATCCATCAGCGGACTTTCCATCCGGTTCCTGTTTATATATCCTGTACGAGTCAGAATGCTATATCGCGCTCTTATTCTACCCCTCCATGCTTTCACACTCTCATCCACCCCCTCTACCTCTATATGTAGGCCAAGTTAAAAGGAAAATGGAAAAAACGAAAAATACAAGACATTTCTTAAGCTTTTCAGTGTGATGGTGTATGTAAGGACATCAGAATGGGAACATGTGGAGCGTTCTGGCTGCCATCAGGAAGCGCCGTCCCTGAGGAACACAAACAATGAGGCTGATAAAAGCAGCATGGCTCACATTTCTTCCTCGCACACGTGGGGGGGAAAGACTGGAGGAGGGGAGTCACAGGACTAGAAACACATCCTTTCTTCCCCTTCTCCTCTGCCTTGTTCCTCAGTGGAGCTACACAACCTCAAATGCACAGGCATGTGACAGACCACATGATTAATTGTGTGAGTGTGTGTCCGAACAAACTGGTTTGAGTTTGTTATTGACCTGTGAAGATGTTTTTACAGGGGGGCTTGGCTTGATGAATTTCTCTTGGTCGTGCTAACACTGAATCTAACTCCAACTCTATCTCCTAAAAGCTGATATCCTGTCTTCAGAATAACATGACCTCAGGCAACATCCGTATTCTTATCCCTCAACCACTGAGTGAGATCACATTTCCATATAATAAAGACAAACCTAAATCAATATGAGCTGGCTCACCTGAATATGGTCCAGCCTTTAATGATGAGTTTTTTTTTTTAAATGTCTAATTCCTTCCCTGGAGCTGCACATGACCCAATTAGGTCAGCTCATCTAACTTTCATGATATTCATTTATGAGAATAAAAATGGTAGGATAATTGATCCAAACCACTGCAGCACCTTTACAACCATATACAGTATATATTTCAGTTTGGGGATGGGTAATGACGGCTCACTAATCTACCAGTTGTCCAAAAACCAAATTGCTCCCCTTTAAAGTATCTTTATGTAAACGCCCCCTAACAAACAAAAACCAGCCTAGTAATACAGGACTTTCTAAAAAAAAAAAATTGCTGATTAGTCATTTGGGCAACCTAATAAATCTGGAACATATGTAGACACTGGAAAATATGTAGTTTTGTACATTCATGCTAGAGTTTAAGTTTAGGATTATCTTTAGACTAAAAGACTAAAAAATTTACATTTCCCATCGAACACCTACTCAAAATGTAACCTATTCAAAATAATAAATAATAAAATAAATTAATAAACTCTTATTTAAACATTCCTCATAGTTCAGTATCCTTGTATTAACACTTATCATAATTAAACACAAAAAACTATGCTTTTTTAAAAATGTGATCGATAACTAAAATAAATAATACTCAATCCTTCCTCAAAGTACAATATCCTTGTAGATATACTATCCTAATTAAACACTCTTTTTTTTTTTAAATCTGCAGAATCCTATGGAATTGATTTAAACAGAGCATTATACACTTTTTGGCAGCTGAAAGCATATTCAAATCAGCCAAAACATTTCATAAACAAACAGTGTGGTGGGAAGTGCAGAACTGTGAATGATGATTGTTCCAATTCTGTGGAGATTTGTGAAGCTTTTTGAGGGCAGATTCCACATGGGCCTGCTCATAACAAGCAAAAGATGCAGAACCCAGAAGCCAAACTTTGTGGTGGCTGATATTGGGCTGACTTTCCAAACTTAAAGGTTAAACTTTATTACCGACCTTGCGGTAGCCCAAAAGCACTGCAGTTTGGTTACATCACCATATTAAACCTCTTAAGGTCTGAGTCAGGCTTGATAGGTACACTTCCCACCACACAATAGAAGATTAAACCTGAGGCTTTGAATGAAGCAAACAGCATGCTGGTGATGGGAGCACATCCTTACAGCCTGAAGCTCAAGATGTCACACCTCCGCTCCACTGAATGAGAACGCTCCTCACTAGGGTGTATCTGGAGGGGGAGGTGAACAGCTCTCAACCACAATCCCAGAATCTAACAATCAGGTGCTGGGAATGGTGTGTTAGCAGAAGTGTGTTTGTATGCTGCATCTGGTGTGGGGTTACAAAATGCCTCGCCTGTAATCACTGAACGGTGAGTCACTTCTTCCTCAGCTGAACTCCAGTGCGCCACACTACACTCACAATACCCTACGAACCTGTGATGTCATTAAAATCACATAACACACACATTTCAGTCAGTGTAATCTTTGTAAATCATTGCCATTGTTTTATAGACAAAATAGAAGGGCTGCACAATTATATGGCTTAGTGTGATTTAATTAAATTACAGGTGCATCTCAATAAATTAGAATGTCGTGGAAAAGTTCATTTCAGTAATTATATACACTGCATGTTTCTGAGTGAAGCGTGGCACTTTGTTCTTTTACACATGAGCAACTCATGATCCGTTTGCAGTGTCTCGGTTCACAGTAAATGCTGCCACACAAGCTCATCTCTGCATCTTCTCTGAGTTTGGGTCGCATATGGGAACATAATGTGCCAACCATCTTCCCAAACTTGTAATGACAACTTTAGAAGCATTTGTCCACAAAATAGAAACTTTAAGGCCTCCCTGCAATTTTCTGCCAAAATAAAAGCTTGATGGTTTAACATTTGAAATTAAGAAAGGCATAAATATTTGTATTGCAATTTTACAGTTGTACTGTAAACTATTATCATTGTTAAGCATTATTATTAATGTTCTAATATTTTTGTTTTTTCTTTTGCAGTGAAGCATTATTTTATAGTCACATTGTGCAGCCCTATAGTCAAGCACAGCAAACTTGGAGCTTTCAAAATAATTGCAAAATTGCAATTAGATTCCCCCAAAATCATGCAGCCCCTATAATAAGGTGCAGCTACTCTGATGCACATTGCAGAAGAGACGATTACAGCGTAACATAATCTGATCTGATGATAAACCCACTCTCTAGTGCAGATTTAAGGTTGACCCTGATGCACTGTTTAGGGTTTCATTGCGGTTTATCCGTACTAAATCCTAAGCTACATGTTAGCTTCACATACACTGTCAATGAGCAGTATGATGTGTAGAAGATAGAGATATAAGAGCATTTGAATTAGTGAACATCCAATTCAGATAATATCAGACACAGATATTAAACATGGTTGGAGGTGGCTGATGTCCTCGTGATGATTTAGACTGCCAGACACAACCCCATACACACAACAAGGGAGCATTTAGCCATTATTTCCCCTTAATGCACAATGACAACAAAATGACAGTGCACCACACAGACCACACATGCACATGGACACCACAAAGCCAGAAAAATCAATGTTCATCCCAAATTCAAGCACGAAATAACTCTCATGGTGCAGACTGACAAATGATAAAAGTCTAGGCGACTACAGGTCTGGTTTT